AGTGCTTAGTTTAAGACCTTGTTTCTCAGTCCTCCTTTTAGCAATAAAAAGGCAGCAGTGGTAGGTACATGGAGCTGGAGGGAAAGTCCTATCGGGCCCATGATAGGACCATTTTGTAGCTGTATGCATTTAGGATTTAATCAGTGTTATATAGAGTAGGACCTGTAGGTAGTAGTTTATTCCAGTAGCCCAGAGCTGCGGATTGATGTTGGCCTCAGGACCCAGGGTTATCACTGTAAGCTAAGCTGGATGATGCTTCCAGGAAGACCTTTTTGCTCCAGGTTGGTTGTGAGGTCCCCGACCTCTATCCACCACCCTCGCTCTCAAAAAGCCCGGAATCAAGAGTGGTGGTGTGAGACCCTATATTCTTGGCAGTACCAGTCTGGTTAACTATCTCTGCCAAGCATTGCACTAGAAGGGCAGTCAGTCCGTTGGGTTGTTGCGTGTGAAGGACTCAGAAGGGGTGCAGGAATCATAGACATGTTCCAACTCTTTGAGGCAGGGAAGAACAATTAGCTAAGGTTCTAGAGCTGTTGCAGTTGGTTATGTTCCAGTGAAGCAACTTTTAACTCCTCGCTGCGGGCTACAAAGAGTCTGACACCTGCCCGGTGCTGGAAGGGGAAAAATAGAAGTGACATAAGCTTCGAATGGAATTGTGAACTTTAGGGCAGTTGTAAAATCTGCCTGTGCTTCCCTGGGTCTGCACCATCAGGCCCCGTGCTAGTCTTTTTCTTTTTCTTTCTGAAGAGAACCAGTTAAATTTTTTTCCACACTGCTCATATCCGTGGTAAAGTGGGCCCGTGCTGGGGCCAAGGGCCTCACCGCACTGCTCGCCAAACACGGTTTTCAGTGAGGTAGGCATGGCCGCACTACCTCACTATTTCCCTTTCGTGAGAAACAAATCTGAATTCACTGTGTACTCAGTGACTGGCCTCTACAACACCATGGACTTTAAAAAAGAAAAACATTATGAGGAAAAAATAAAATAAAATAAGAAACTAGTCTGAATTCGTGAGGATTCCAATTGGTGAGGGCTCGCCAAAATTGCACGGACTCCTCTGGACAACGGGAAGGTGGATGTCTGCAAATATGGTTGGATCTTAACCAACTCAAATGGAACCCCAACCAAGATCCCCATCTCGGACTACTCGGCAAAGATTGGCTACGCTCTCCACTCTGATCCGCAATCTCTTAACGCTGATCTAACCTTGACTTGGCAACACAGAACTTCCTCTCTGAACCTCCTTCCCACCCCACCCAAATGAATTTTATTCTTTATACATATTATTTTATCCACTCTAGAAACCAAAGTAGGAGGCCTCCAGTGGCTCCACCTGCACTCGAGTGTCCTTACAGCTCTCTGGTGCTCTGAGAGAGAAATGGATATCTGCGTCAGATGTGATATCTGTCCCCATCACAGCTTGGAAGATTGGTTGCATTTGTGGTGGGAATGTGTCATCGCCAGAGGCTTCTGGGAATTCCTCAACAAACTCTGGTCTCAAGCCTACGGGTTATCTGATTTTTGGAATAAAGATTTTGTTATTACTGGTAGAATCCCACCTCCTCTCCAAAAACAACAAGCAGGAAGAATAGCTCTCCTTTTCAGGGCAAGAGCGTACTGGCACCTGTGGATAGCCAGAAGAGATAGAAGATTTACTGATACCAAAGACCCCCTACCCTCCTTATTATCTCGCTTTAAAAAGGCCCTAAGACTCGACATAACGGCTGACTGGATCAAAAATAAGAATAAAACTGCTTCCTCGGAAGCAACACTTATACTCTTTCAAAATAACTGGTCCTCTCCCTTCCGATGGGCGCATATGACAGAAGACATTAAGCTGAACTACTTAGACCTTCTGTGGGATCGATCCCCACTCAGACCTCGCCCCTAACTTTTCATCCGACAGCTTACCTTTTTGAGAGGGTCTGAGCCTCCCTTCCTCTTCCCAACCACCCCACACCTGTCTCAGACAGTAATACTGGCTGCATTCCGTTTTCCAAATCGATTGGCAATAATTATTGTAGACTTGTAGATGGAACTTGGCCTGTAATTAAGGGCCGGAGGGTAGTCTGGCGGAGTATTTTGGTATCGTTGTTAGATCCTCCAATGGAACTTGTTTTTAGGAGATTTCGGTGAGTCGTAGATAGACTCCCACGAAGCGAAGCCGGGTAATGCTCCCGGACATGAATGTCTGTAGGATCATGGATAGAGAGATAGTTCGTCCCTTTGTGTCTTTTGGTAGATTTCAATTGCCGATTTTTTCTTTTTCTTCAGAAATAGCAAGACTGTGGATAGGAGCATGGGACACTGGACCCGGTTTCCAGTTAGCCTCTCTGGGGCTTGGTTCCTCTGTCCGGGTTGA